AGTACTCCATTACATTCATATACCATAACTTGCTCAGCCATTCCCCAATTGATGGGCATCCCCTCCATTACCAATTCTTTGCCACCACAGAAAGAGCTGCTATAAATATTTTTGTACATGTGGGTTCTTTTCCCATTTGTATGATCTCTTTGGGATACAGACCTAGAAGTGGTACTGCTGAGTATGCCCTAGTTTTTATTAATAACTAGCATTTGTATAGCATTTGAAGAGTTGCAAAGAACTTTGTGTTGTCCCATTTGGTCCTACTTTATGTTCTCTTCGACCAAGCAGTCTAATATGTCTTCCATATTACAAAGTTTAAGACACCTGTCCCCCTAAGTCCTATCAAAGATAAACATCCCCTGTTCCTTCCTTTGAATCAACAAGCACTCCTATCTATATACCAGGGACTATGGTAGGTGCTGGGGATACAAAAACAAAAACTGGAAACAATCCCTACTCCTGGCATGATCTCAAGGCCCTTCACCAACCTGGTCCTTCAGCATGTCAGTGCCATAACCAACATGTAACACTAAGAAAGGTAGTATACCTGTTAATTTTTACATGTTCGAGGATAATTCAATCTGATAAACATTTATTAAGCACCTGCTATGTGCCAGACACTGTGCTAAGTGCTGGGGATACAAAAAGGCAAAAGAGAGTCTCTGTCCTCAAGGAGCTTACAATCTAATGGGGTATAGGGAAAGTAAAGGCATTTTAGCATTGCTATAGATCTGCAATCAACGGACAGGGTCCAAACCCAGTCTAGCTATTTATGCCTTTCGTGACCACACAGAAGTCACTTTGGTTCTCTGGGCCTCAGATTCCTCAACTGTCAAATAAGTGCCAAGGTCCTTTCCAGCTGTTTTGTTTGGGTCGAGTAACTTTTTTTTTCTTTTTAAATTGAAATCTAGTCTTTATTTTATTTTATTTTATTTTTGGTGAGGCAATTGGGGTTAAGTGACTTGCCCTGGGTCACACAGCTAGTAAGTGTCAAGTGTTTGGTCTGGGGCCAAATTTGAAGTCAGGTCCTCCTGACTTCAGAGCTGGTGCTCTATCCACTGTGCCATCTAGCTGCCCTAACTTTTTCTTTAAGAGAATGTCCTGGCAGACCTGGACGCCATTCGGATTCTTTGGGGGGCCCTGCCCTTCGGCAGGAACCCTAACTCTCAGGAAGAAGCTGAGCTGGGAGCAGACGCCGCAGAAGTGCGCCAGCCCCGCCCTCTACGGGTCTCAAGCTCCAGCCTCCGGCCGCGCAGAGGTCTGCCCCTTTAAGGGACGCAGCGGAAGTGACGCAAGGTCCTCCGCGAGTGTCGGGGAGCCGGAGGCCGCCGGGACAGCGCAGTCTCCACGTGCCCCCGGCCCCCCACCAGGCCTGAGGGTCTCGCGTCCCCGGCAAGCCGGGAGTGTCTGCCCGCGCGCGCCCTCCAGCCTCACTCTACGGACGGAGTCATGTCCGTGAGCGGAGATGCGACCGCTGGGGTGAGTCCTGTCCCGACCGACCCTGTTTGCGGCTCTGCGTCTAGCGGACAAATGATTGGCTGTTGGCCGCCGTCCTCCGCAGCCTATTGGTCGGAATGACTGTTATTGGTGCCGGGCTTTGAATGGGGTTTAAAGAGACAGCGGCCAAAGTCGCCCCGGCCGAAAGTGCCCGGGGTGGGCGGGGGTCTCCTCGGACCTGCTGCTGGGGAGGCCGAATTTTCCGAGATGAGAAGCTCCCTGTAGGCGCGGGGGTCGGAGGCGCTTGGCTGTATCGCGTGGAGGAAATGCGGGCCACTGTCTCCGAGCTAAGGCTCCCGGGGCAGGCGCTCCCCCCCGCCCCCCGCTGGCGGCCTGCTTCCGGGTGGAAACTGACGGAGGGCCGCAGCAGGGTAGGGGCCGCAGGGTCGCGCCTCGCACCCGAGGCTGGGGAGCTGGAGGCTGGGGAGCCGGCCGCCCGTCGGCAGGCGGAGCGCCGCGTGTGAGCCGCGCAGCCGGCGCTAGGTTCTGCGATCTACGAGCGGCGTCTCCGGACAGTTTTGTCCCGTGTGAAATGAGAGGATTGGGCATGTTTGGTGTCACCTTGTCACTCTGTTGACCCCTTCTCGGAATAATTTTTAAATGCATAAAATAAAATATGTAGTATTGCGAAAGAATCCAATTACATTGAAAGTTATAAAATCCAATTACATTGCAAGTTATAAAAAAAAAAATTGGCAGCACATAGTCACGCCCGCCGATTGTATAATCTTTGAAGTCCCTTCCTGCTGGTTACCCTGGGATCCCCCTCCCCCATATCCAGAGGCGAAGGGACTACTCCACACGTTCCCGAATTGCTTCTTTTCTCTTCTTCTTCACTAACCCTTACTGCTCATCTTGTCCTTTTCCCCCCTTAGCCTACAGATGCTTAGCGTGCAGATGCCCTGCTTCAGACTCCCTGGTCCCCTCCAGACTTTGGAGTTTGAGGGAGCCGTTTGGTGTGGGCCAAGACTTGACCGTCACCCCTTCCTCCCAGGAGCTACTTCCTTACAATCGTAGATCAATTGTAGACTCACGGAATTGGAATCGATCTCAGAGGTCATGTGGTACAGCAACCCTTACTCTCTACTATCTCGATGGCAAATGTTTGGCCAAGTCTGCTTGGCGGCCTCTGCCACTGTTGCCTGGAGCCAAGCAGAATAAGTATTCCCTCTCTCAAAGGTTGTCCTTCCTAGCGTTTAAAGAGACTTCATTTAGGTAAATAAACATCTCTAGTTCCTCCCACAGATCCTAATGTGGCCTGATTCAAGTCATCCTCAAGGGCTCCTGCTAGTCACTGAGATAACACCATAGCCATGATTGGCCAAGGTGTATCTGGGGTACTGGGGAGAAAGGGGAATTTATCTCCACTGTCCACACCACTCAGAATTAAAAGATTCCCTGCCATACCGGGAAGTGCCATTCCCACTTGGAATTTCTGAGCTCTGAAATGCTCTTGACTCATTTCTGTGGGCTCCCTCATCTATCCAGTGGATGTACTGGAACACAGCAGAGATTCCTGTTAGACAGGTCAAGGTTTTTGTGGTTTTTTTTTTTTTTATTTAAGGCAATTGGGGTTAAGTGACTTGCCCAGGGTCACACAGCTAGTAAGTGTCAAGTGTTTGGTCTGAGGTTGGATTTGAACTCAGGTCATCCTGACTTCAGGGCTGGTGCTCTATCCACTGTGCCACCTAGCTGCCCCCAGGTCAAGGATTTTGGGCTTGACTTTGGTGTGCTCTCTTTGGATACGTTTATTTGAGAGATGGCTGTGATGGACAGCAGCAAATTGACATATCCTTTATATACTCAGCTGCAGTAAGTCTCCGCCTCCCCCTCCCCCCTCCTCATAGGCCTAGGGCAGGGAAAACAGGCATCAGGTAGTAGCTGGACTCAATTTCAGTTAAATGTGATCCTATTTTCTGGCCTTCAGGGCATAAATCCTCCTTCCTGGTCCCTTGGCAGATATTCTCAGAGAACCCTACCAAGAGGAAAGAATGTGTCCCTTCTGGTTCCAAGTCTCAATTTCTGTGTCTAGGAGTTTCTTTGCTCATGAAACCAGAGGAGGGGATTTGTGTCTCCACAACAGACCGATGAAGAATGATTTGTTTTCTCTTAGGCTCCTCCTTCCTTCCTCCTGTCCCATTGCCATCACTTACCACGTTTCTAGAACATTTGAAGTTATAGGCACAATGGTGACTTTAGCATTTGGGTAGCACCAGTGGTTGTGTAGATGGGGTTTTTGTCCACTTTGGTGTGGGTCACTGAGCTTTCCAACTGTCAGTGACTCAGCACAAGTTGTCCAGTGTGTGGCCACCTCCGATGTTGCTCCAAAGAACACCCCCCTTCCCCTTTCCCTCCCCCCCTTCCAGTTCTGACCCCACCCTCCTGGTGGTTGGCCTGATGACACTTATCTCCCTTCCCACCTGGGTGGATCCAGGACCGCCTTCAAGTACTCCCTTACTCAGTCTTGCTTCCAGGGCTCAGAGTCCTGTTGGTAAGTATAGCTGCCTGTACCCTTCATCTTTGTTTGGCCATTGGAAAAGCCTTATTCCTCCCAGGTAAGGCAGGAAGGTCACTTGAAATTTAATCCAAGACTTTGAAGAAAGTGGAGGGGATGGCATCAGAGTAACAGAGTAGTGACCCTCCGGCAGCCTCTTGAGGTCTCTGTTGTTCTGGGATTCTGGATTTACAGGGGAAAGGGTTCGGAGGAGGGTAATAACTCTGGGTTCTCTCTCAACAGGAAGGAAACAGCCCAAAGATGAGAGTGATCCGCGTGGGTACTCGCAAGAGCCAGGTGGGATAGGGGTTCATGCTGTTGTAGACACCAGGAATCAGAGTTTGGGGGACGTAGGGAACTCAGCTGCTTCACCACTCCAAGTGGGGCAGCTGCAGAAGATAGGCTTTAGTCTGGTCTCTACTGAGAAATGTTCTAAGGCTGGACTTCTTTGGAGAGGGGCTAAAATTGTT